CCCACTACTCCAGCCTACAGAGAACTATACTTGAAAACTTTACTTAGCTAAACTCTGCTACAGGTAAGAAGCAATCTGTGAATAAAATGATATTTTAATGCATTTTCACAGGGACATAACAAATGAATAAGCAAGAATATTACTTGAAGTAATAATACATTTTTAAGTTTCATTTACAAGTTGTGATTGAAAAAAAAAGTATACACAACCCTAACCCTAACCCATATCACATGAAATAAATATTTGATAACTATTATATTTATTTGAAGTGGTAAAACAACATGCTGACAAATAAACCTGCTGCAACTTTAAGATTATGATCACCCCTCTCTGTTTTGACAGGGTTTCCCCTGCTCTCTGATTCTGATTTAATCGCTGACAACCAATGTGCACAGGGTTCAAAAATTGTTTGCCTAGTTCAAATTACAGCCCAGGCGTATAATGAAAAATAAATAGGAAATTATTGCTTCTGTTTCTAAACCACAGCTACTTTGAATAAGAAACAAAAGGCTCCCATTTGAAGCTTCTAGAAAGAGTCTGTACTTATGGTTGTGGACTGTATCCCAGAATGTTTTTGAAGTTTTAGTCTTTCAGTTCTGCACAATGTTCAATATTCAAACCACACGTTTATAAGTTCAGCACTAATACGTTCTGTTCTGCGCTATAAGATCCATTCCGGTTTTTCTGTCGTTCTCAGCCTACGGAATGAAAATCTGGCTGTTTTTTTCCCCTTTTTGGCTGTGAATTTACATTTTGCACTCGATCGTACGGTGATGGGTGCCTATAGACGTACACCAAATGTAAGATGTCGACTAGCAAGCCATGGTACGAGTCTACGGGCCAGATCATTACTGCGCAAGCATTTTGCGCTGTCATTCCAGCAGAAAATATGAAAATCGTACCGAACATGAATAAAATTAGCATGTTTAAGTTTAAAAATGTTAGGGGAATGACAGATGTGCTTTGCTCCTGGCCAGGGTAAGGCCTAATGTCAGATGTCAGACCTAACCAGAACAGAATTAATATCAGCTTATTTTGCATACTGGAATAACATTCTGCTTGCACCTGTGTTCATTGTACTAGGTCTACATCATCTGGTCACAAGCACAAATATGCTTGGGGGGCATGGACACTGATTGTCTTGGGGTGGGGGAGGGGGGGGGTACTTATTGTTGTATTCCATTGTGTCTCGCCTCCAGTAACCTGGGACCCAGGCCCATGATCATCTGCCCGTCCTGGCCTATTCTTGAACAGGAGAATACACATTTTAATAAACCTGTTGATGGCTGCCAAGTACCGATGTTGTGTGGTTCCTCACTCTGAGATGCCCTCACAGCCGGTAATAGTGAGACGACAGCAATCGCTATAGCTGAAGTCAAAACAGGGTATGTGAAATGACAATGTAGCTACGGTAATCACTTTCCAGTGGAACCAATACAAACGTATACAGTTATTGGTACAGACAACATCAGGACTGAAAACCCCTCAGTGCCCCAGGGAAGTCTGAAATGACAAGTACTGCATCGAGCAAGTGGGGAAAAACTGACGTTCAGGAACCCGATGGTGGCCAGAACAGGACAAGAAATGGGAGAGACGTTTCCTTCGCATATTGCTCATGTTTGTTAACTGTACTGTGTTTCTGGAGTTAGGATGTTAAGGTGCACAATAACGGTGGTCGCGGGACTGTAAAAAGAAGCACGCCACTAGACAGGACTTTTGCAGAATATCGATATTTTCCTCCTGATAACTTTTCATATGGCCCCAGGACCCTCTTGTATCTTTCTGATAGGGGGGGGGAGATTGAGAAAAAGGAATCTAGACAACTCCAGTCCGGTTTGATTATAGCACATCAAACATGAATCACGGGCTTTCTAGAATAGCATGGTATTGCACCTCATAGCCTGTACCATTCTGAGACCTCGCCGTCTTCTTTAGGGAGATGTTCTGCGCGCGCAGAAAACCGCTGGCCAAAGAGTCTCCATCTGGCAGAATGCACACAATAAGTGGATTGCAGGGAATCGCGAAAGGAAACTGTAGCTACTGATTCACACGTGTAAAAGACACGAGGCGATGTAATTTTAGACATCGTTCAAAAATGATACGTGAAAGGAGAGCCACAGTGGGGCAGCGGAGGCTGTGTGTTGCGCTTCCTTTAATTCCCTGCGGATTCATTACCGCTTTTACCTCCCGTCGACACTGAAAACATCACCGCAACACAAAACGGCACCACAGGAACTCACCTTTACCTCATTTGGATGTCACCGTAAAAATAATAATAATAATAAAACAAACATCGTGCCTGTTTTTCCTCCTACATGTCATTCAATACTTTGTTATGCATAGACAAGCCAGTTTGTCTGTTTCATTAATTTATTTATTTTCCTTAATTGCAGTTTGCCTGCTGATCTGAAAGCTTCTTGCTGGGAAGAGCAATTCCAAAGTCAAATAATATCAAAGCCTGTATTTCTTTTCCCCGTTTCGTTGTCAGTACCGAAATGGCTGTTCGCCATACATTCCCATCCCGTCTTCTCAAGCCTTTCCAGACGCTTTTATGAATTATGGAAAACCGTAATTCACCAGTTGATGACGGCAGCTGACATCTGACAGAACAGGGGTGCACGTTACGAATCGGGGGAAGGGTGGGGGTGAGACTGGCCTCAGACGTCGAGCCGTTGGACCCAAAACTTCGGCTGAATGGGCTGCGCATGTGCGTCGCGAAACGTGAGTGACAGGAGGTCTCTGCGAAGCTGCGCGGGGCAAGGAAATATAGTGAAGTGTGCAATTCTGGCCCTCGGGCGCTGTCTTTGACAATGAAAGACAAGCAACAAATTCTGAGGGCATGGAGGCAGGAGGAAAAGTAATGCAAACCTGTCCCAGTCCAATAACAGAAAGCAGGATGCTTTCACTCCTTGCGTCAAACCAAGAGATTACTGCCGTTTTCCTTTCCATATAAACGGGTCAAGGGTCGCTCCCACGCCGCTCCTGCTCGTCTTTCTGACTGGAGGGCTCCCAGCTCCTGAAGTTTCCAAGCAAACAAACAAATGAATAAATTAAGAAACCAGCTGATCTTCCAGTGGAATTATTAAATCCCTGTGAGGTCGCTGTGGCGCTGCGGCCTAACGACTTCCACTCGAGGGATGGCCTCTCTTCGCCACGGATCAAGGGCGACGCCTTGCCCCCGTGCTTTCAGTCCGGCATGCATAAGAAGGCGAGACGCTCTTCTCTTTTACCAGAGACCTCTAATCAGATGCTCCTCTCAAGAGGAAGGCGGCTGAACAGAGTCTCCGTTTGAAATTCTCTAAAAGAGAAAACAGACGAAGTGTTTGTGTTGGCCCATGTTGTTTAGGACTGAAACGACAGAAAAATCAATGTCTGTTTTCTTGAGAGTGCGGAACATAAATTAGGACTGACAACGAACCCTAATTACCGGCGCTCTGGAGGATGCTGGGAGTGAGTACCTCCAGAAGAATCGGGGATAGGCATACTTTGTGGCTTTGCTGGGGCAGTCTCCGCTGAGACGGCACCCCGGGGTCGGTAAGTCCCCAGTCCCCGCCAGCTGTTTTAAGATGAGCCTGTCTTTCCTTAAAAGCCAGCAACAGGACAGATTTTCTTTCTCTGAAAGTAATGGCATCGGCAAATGTTAAAAAGGAGGGATATTTTTTCTCCTTTTGTTTCATGCATCGCTCTAGCAGACTTTTGATCTTTGGAGAAAACTTTTTCTATAGTATACTTAAAAAATCGCTCGTTGTACGATAAAATCTCTCTGGTATTTTAATTTTACAAACTTCAAAAAACTGACATTGTATGTAGTATACAGCCTAGTGGAAATGAGCTATTTGGATCAAATATAAGTAATGCATTTATTTCAAAGGTCCTGAGTCGTAAATTGTATATTTATGTAGGCCTATAAGTTTGACTCTAAATATAATGTTTTAATTTAAATTTTTTATTTGTTATTGTGTTTTGCAATGAAAAGCAATGGAGTAGGCTACTTGTGTTTCTGACGCCCGAAATGTTTTTTTTTTTTTGTTATTTCCCTCTCTTATGTAACTATAGGGGGCAGTATTTACCTGATTATTCAACAACCGATATTCCTGAATCTTTCAAAACCCCAACATTTATTTCCGGCACCCTTTCTATGAATATACATACAATTATGAATCTACCGGTTTACTTAAATTCACCGTGTAGTTTAAATAATTCATGTTAACAGCGGGACTGATCAAAATTTCTACAATATTTCTATGATGACTCACTAAATGGCTATTTGTGAGCCCATAAACTATGAAGAAGTATATATATTTGTTCAATAACATAATCAAACATTAATGTTTTGTTCCGCCGTTATTGATGACCCTTCACGTGAATATGGGAAGTCATATGCTACAATAATTATAATTAAATACTTTAATAATAATGTAATAACGAAAAACACCGAGTTCAGGGGATAAAAATGAAATTGTAAGTGACAGGTACTCCTCACTCATCAAGATGTGTAAACGTTAATGCCTTTCATATCTGTAAGGCTTTGGCGGTTTTTAGTGGTTGAGATTCCCTAAGCTTAAACATATTGCCTTCCACATACGATTCCGCATACAAATACTTCAGGGCCTTGTGTTATGATTTCAAAGGAAAAGATTGAGATAATTACACCGCAAATACATCAAAGTAAATTGAAACCAAATGTGTGATACAGTTGGAGAATAGGGCCCCTCAATAGAGCCCCTGATTCGGTGTCCCGCACTATAGTGGCAGAAACACATAAAGGTTATTTAGGAATGAAAGTCACGGAGATCCAACTGCATTAAAAAAGACGGTCCCTCTTTGGCGAATAACCGTATTTAGGATTTTCGAACTGGGATTTTAATTAGGAAAGCGATATCGGCTGAACAAATTATTATGAAGTTTTGACCCCCTCCCTCCCCATTCTCACTCATCTATAAAGACAGATCCACGAAACTTTCATTCTTTCATCTGACGTTTTTATTGAATGCTTCTCTATGCCCCTGCCAAAAACACTTAAGGAAATCACTAGGAAGTTTTAAAGGAGTGAGTCATTAGTCTCGGACTTCCAAACCTAGAAGGAGCGAGGTCTGATACTAGCTTCATTTCTCTGGATGAGAAATTGACGCAGCAAATTGAACTAAAAGCCGCAGAAACAAAACATCACAAAGTACCCAGAGTGACTGGCGACATTAGGTAAAGTCTCATACTTCTGATCATAAGGGGTGCACGGAAACGTTAATTTATACCGCTTTTCTTAACGCCGTGTTAGTGCCCGAAGACGGTGAATTAACGCGGAACAACCTCACCCCCTGCACTAAAAGCCACTAACAGTAAATGAAAAATAAATCGGTCAATTTCCCGACACTAAATCTCCCGTGTCGCTGCGCTTAAATAAGCTTTCTTTGTTTTGTTTTTGGGCAGGGAGAATAGCCATCTGTTGGATGGCTTTCACCGGGCAATGTCGCACAAGCGAAAGCTGTGGACGCAATGGGGTCGGAGCGGCATATTCACCAATTTACCACGCCGTTCCCGGTTTCCCCCGTTTTCACGCTGCCGCAGTTGTTATGTAAATATTATTTTACAGCCCGCTTATAAGCCTCGCACACATCGGTGACCACCTTTGTGGGGAGGATTAACACCCAGCCGGGGTAGACTTTATCTGAGTCCGGGGAGGATTTGTGTCTCCCTCCGGCAAGGCGGACCCGGCTTGCTCCTTTCACACCGATTCAAGCCGTTTTTAATGATCCGGTTCCAGATACAGTGGGATAGATACACAAAGTGGTTTTTAGGTGCTATGCACTATCAAACGGCTCACATATTTCGCACAAGCTGCAAAATGACAAATTATATTGGTCAGCAGAATTTCTTAAATAGGCCGTGCAGATATAGGGAGCACTTAGTAGAGTTGTAAAGATGTAACCCATTAAATTGATCCTTCGATCGCTGAATTTGTACGGGAACCTGTTACATTTTCGTTTGTTTCCTACTGAGATTGTTAGAAAAATGCGAAAAAAATGTTTTCCTATGTAGTTACCGGAACCTTAGATATAGATACAAGCATAATTAATGTTATATTAAAGGTTGGATTAAAGATACCGGTACGGAATAAAGAGCGTTTAAACACAGCTTTCAGCTGGGTGATAGTAAAAGAAGCTGCCAGATTCCATCACCATGACTTGAAGGCTGCCTCTGCCCGAGAGAGGTACGCTTCTCATTAAGGTTACAAACACAACCTGAAACCGGTATTTAAGTCTTCGATTGTGTTGGTAATGCTCAGATCCAGCGGGACACTAATGAGGCTTTCAGCGGGACGACAGTAAAACGAGTAAAACTCCTGCCAGGCTTGATCAGGCTCCGGCTTGGCTATATGCCGTGTGGCAGGCGTCCTCCGCATGTGGACACTTGTACTTAGCGGGACGCAAATGGCGCTGCCGCTACCGGCCTGCAGATCCGCTGCTCCAGATCGTGTGACAGCTCTGTTTTGACAGGCCAGGAAGTGAGTCAAAGGTCATAAGGCATATCCCCCTGGGCACCCTGTCAGGGATCAAAGGCTCTCCGCAAAGGCGCTGCATTGGTGAAAATTCACTTTGCAGGGACAGGCTTTACAATTTTGCATTTCGGATCGGTCAGACTCAGAATGGGAAATAAGGGCACTATAAAATCCAGCCGTGCCACGAACGAAATATCCAGATGTTTTTTAAAGCTTTTATTGGGGCCTGTCACCGTTTAAAGAATGAGGAAAACACGTGCGATACATTTCAGTTATTATTTTATTACAAATAGCAAAATGACGAATCGCTTTATTCATGCACCCATTTACTTGTTTGTTTATTTATCTATTTATTTGTTTGATGTCTTGGTATCTTGACTATGTATAATTTAGCTGAATATTCCCTTTGCTGGGCACAAACTTATCCGTTATTTCCGTGCAGCGGTTGGCCGCCTGGTCCAAACACGGAGACCTTCATTAGGATTAGGATCCTAATGACCACTGAATAATGAGTTTTGAGTTTATTCTAGACATCCCGAATGTAGCACCCTGGTAAATTCCTGATACCACTCCCCAAGTCGAGTCTTTTGTCGTAATTTTAATACAGTTATAAAATGTATACTTTGTCCAAAACTAATTCAACGATGGCGTCGTCGTGACCCGGTGTTACCAGTTTGCCGTTACTGGGGGATGTTTGTTATGTGACCATGCCATCCTCATTCTACTTCTTAGATGCAGTTAATACAAAAGAAAGAAAAATCGTCATTTCAGAGCTGCAGTGGCCGGTTTACCGGGTGCTTGGGGACAATTCGAGCCGTCACACCAGAACAATAACTATCCGTGTCCCAGAATCGAGCCCGGAAATAGGGGCTACAGTACTCCAGATAATTTCAGGGTCGCGTCCTTAAATGACGGTGAGGTTGCAAACCGCAGTCTGGGTATATACTGTCCTTTTGTTTTTCTTTAATTCATCATTCAAAATATCAGTTGCCACTTCGGACCAAGCTTTTTATGGTCTGCCGGGAACAAATCATTTCCTCATATTTTGTATACAAAAAGTTCGGAGAGAATTTAACCATGGTTAAAGACACAGTAAACTGATGTTCAGGATGGGAATACTGAAGCCATTTGTCCATAATGTTTCAAGTTTAGAAAAACTATTTTTTTAGTGGTCTAGGGAACCACTGTTGTCTTGTTCAAGCTGTAGTATTTTAATTGGAGGGGCAAACTGTAAATAGGAACCAATCTGTGTATAACTTTGTTTTTGTTGTGTAACTGAAAACAAATATTACGCCTATTTATTCAGCTTGTAACTGGGAAAGGCATTTCTATGGATAGGCCTATGGTCAAGTAGAAATGTCCGATTCACTGCAAAAGCTAAAATGTATTTATTTCTAAAGAAAGGTGCTGAAATTTATTTAGTTCACACTCAGACGGCGTGTTGGAGCTTCGCCCGGTAACCGTACGAATATTAAAACTATATCTCCGTATGTCCCTCTCCACACTCTGCGTTTACCACCCACCCACCACAATGGCGGGACGATCTTGGATAAATATAAAAGGCTGTTGCCTCTAAGATGTCCCTCGCTGGGATAGTGGCCTCACTTCAAACGCAAACTGGTAATCCACTGAAACGAATGGAGACCCGTTTGAAACTCGACCGGCTCCGACGCCTCAGCCTCTCACAGCTCCCTATTGTTTCTGCGTCGGTCTGCCTCAGCTTTGCCCTGTGCAGTGTTACACAGCGAGGGGACCCTTTCCTACGCGCATTCACTGCATATTTAAAAATCCATATTCAAATAAATAATAAATATATTATGCTTATATGATTATATTTGGAGTTTAATTGGAGTCACCAAATTGCCCATAGGTGTGCGTGTGTGAGTGACTGGTGTGTGAGTGACTGGTGTGTGAGTGTGCCCTGTGATGGGTTGGTGCACCATCCTGGGTCATTTCCTTCCATGCACCCATAGGCTCCGGACCCCCCCACGACCCAGAATAGGAGAAGTGGTTTCAGAAAATGCATGGATGGAATGTATGTTGGTCTTATATATGTGAGTGAATGAGGTATTATTAAATCATGATATATTTGTCGATAGTGCTGAGATCATTGTCATTGTCTACAGATTAATATCACATGATTTTAAAAAAATACTATTGTGTACACTGTAAATGAAGGTTTGAGTAATATGTACACTGTACTAGTCACAGGACTGAGGACTAATATTTAGATTATAGACTGTGTTGCTTTTCTGTGTATTTGAAAGTGACAGGTACTCTGGACAGATGGAGGGATGAGCTCTGCCTCTGAGGTTTGCTGTCCCATCAGGCCTGTGGATTGAGGATCTCCTGATTCCCACCCCCAGCCCAGCTGAAGCGGCCCCCTGTTCATCGGGACCCTATCAAAGGGTCATCTTGCAGTTTCGGGCCCCAGATTACCGCACCGAACGTCTGCAGTCCCCTACAGCGGGGATTGCAGTGACTCCGTGCAGTGGGCCACTTCCTGCTATCTGAGCGGACTTCGCACAGAGAACTCCAGTGCCGGCACTGTCCTCCCGGGAGCGGGCTCGGTGCCAGCTGGATCAGCGCGCGGGATGCAGCGCCGCGATTCCGCCCCGCCCCGTTTTCCCTCTCCCCCGTTCTTCCCTCGTCCTCTCAGCACGCGTGTCTCGGCCTTCATGGAGAGCGGAGGGGAATCGAGAAAGATCTGCGGGGTGGCAGATGGGCCCAGAGCCATCAATGGTAGCGAAACGGCGGACGGCGTGAAAGGAAACGCATGCAACCGGTAAGATTATACCGTAACGAAATTAAAAATTAATTGCGCAGGAGAGCGGCGGGAGCAGGCTGGGATACTCATCCAAGGTCTCTTCTGAAACATCCATCAGCACAGTGTCAACACTCCAGTCTCTGTGCCTGCAAATTATCTGGATTGCTCTCCTCCGCCACCGCAACTTTATCTCCCAAAATGTAAATGATAATTGAAGAGGGCTCGAGGTGGCGTCTGCCCCCGCTGACATCATCTCAGCGGCGCTCTACGGGCGACGCCCACCCTCCGTGCCTGACAGCGTCCGAGTGCCACTGCGGGAGCGGGGAGGGGGCGAGCGGCCGGCCTCGGAGGAGGACAAAAGACAAGGCCTTGGGGAGAGAGGGAGTAAAGAAAAAGGCTAGGGGGGGACCCCAGAGAGAGCGGGGATAAATCACCTGCTCGTAAGACGAGGGCGACAAGCCCCTGCGTGCATCAGAGCAAGAGCGAGCCCGGCCGGGAATCTCTTTACTGTCAGTCAGGCCCCCTATTAGCACGTGGGAGATCTCCGGAACATTCCACACTTCCTCGTTTTTTTTTTTTTCCCACATGGGGTCTGGAGGAACGTTGTTCCCGCTGATGGCTTCCGTATGACGCCGCAGGTCCTCCTAACGGCAGGAGCGGGAATGCGGAGTCTGGCTGTGCCGGCTGATGTCACGTGGGGAGTCGCGAGCTCTGGAACGCGTCCATCTTCCTAACTCCTCGGGACGGCTCTGGCATTTCTTCATGCCGACGGATCATTTCACGTATCACATGTTTCAGGTTAGCTTCCGAATACCGCCCGGTGTCATGTGACATCCTGATGTGTGATTGGCTTGAAAAAGCTCTCATGATACCCTCATACGTTTTTAACATTTTTTGCACAGGCCCAGAACTTTTGACTCCTAGACACCATTCAGCATAGTTTTTGACTTAAATCTAGCACAAACAGACATGCCTTAGGCTTAAACTGAAACGGGATTGTAATAGACAGAGCGTAACATCTGCTTTTTTCATGATCAACCCATAATGTTAAGATCAAACAGCAGTTTGTTGAATAATCTCTCCGTTGACACTATCCATGAAGAGGGGTTGGATTTTTCACTCATGGACAAGAAGTCCAGACCTGGATTACCCGTTCTCCCCCGTTGAAGAGGCTGATGGATGGTTCCCGGCTTTCCAGGGACCTTATCACTGTAACTTTGACCCCCGCTCCCCACCCCGCACTTACTTACGGCCCGCCTGGGGAGCGGATGAGGCCGGCGATAAGTGTCGCGTCTGGCCGCGTCCGGATTTCAGGGTCCAGCGGAGGTGCTGCAAAGCGCCGTCGGGGGGGGCGCTTGGCTCTGACCCCCTGACCTGCGGCACGTGTGGGCGGGAACCTGCTCTTCAGGGAGCGGTCTGTGGGCGGGGCTAATGACATCTCCCTGGATCTGAGGTAGACCATTAATATCAGATGGGTTTTTACAGAATATCTCTGTTCATTTCGACAGTAACACCCCTGGGCTGAGTATAATTTCCATTCTGCTTACCAGGCGTCTTTAAGCCATGGGAGCTGTGGATCCTTCCGGACCCTCCACGCCAGTCTGCCTGGCCCCCGGTCTGGCTCTGTGTGAATGTCAGCCACTGATGACTCCATCTTGCCAGTAGGCAGACCGCCCTGCCCCCCAGAAATGGTTCTGTCTCACTTTTCCTCCATGTCAGTGGGCTGGGAGGCCCAGTGCGGCAGCACTAGGCTCAGTGCAATAAATTCGGGCTGGGGGGGGTTGGCTGGACACATGCCCCCCCTCCCCGCTTGACCCAAGTGCGTGTCCCACCTCTGAGTGTTCATCCAGCCCAGAAACCGCAGCGAGGCTGATGCCCCCCCCCCCCCCC